CTCTATTTTCATCAGTTTCCACGTTAGAAAATAGAAAGAATCTGATTTTTTTAAATTTCGTGTCCGGTTAAAAATCTATCCAAATCACACTAATTGAATAAAAAAGAAATCTGATTTTTTTCCACTTTCAAAGCAGATTTTGATTGGTTTCAGCCTTTCTTAATCGAATTTTAAGAGAGAGATTTAATGTACAACACTGAATTAATGAATCAAAAGAGACTAAAACGGATTGAAATCAATCTTTCAAACTGAAAACATAAATTTCAAGCAGAATAAAATAGAATCATTTTAATAAATTTTTTCGCAAAAAATACTCCGTACTTTCTGATTTTTTCTTAAAGCTTCTTAGATGAGCTTTGCATCTTGCAACTGATCATAACTTAGAATCTCTATTATGCAAACTGTTTGAAAGTTTCACACGTCTGATATAAAAAAAAAATTTATCTGGTTCACTTATATTGTTCATCTACCCGTAAACCTAAGCACACTATAAAAAGCATCAAATAGCAAGGGTTCCACTGAAGTGTAACCAGGTTAACCATGTACTAAAATTAACAGCACAACAAAAAATGTTAAACGATCTTACTCTGTGAAATTGATCAACGGGCTATTGTCTTGTGAAAGCTTGTGCTAATGGATGATAATCCTCAAGAACTTCAAATATCTACGAAGAAACATTAGTCTTTCTGTTTAATATGCAGTTTGGCTTGATTCTAGTGTTCTTTTTCAAAAAATTAACATTGTCGAAGTTTACTCAACTTATGATCAAGATGATAATACAATTTTTACAATGTTTTCATTAATGACCGCAGTGCTTGTGCAGTTTCATAGTGTAGAAATGCTTGGCCCGACACAGGCATGGTCGACCCATTAAATAGTGGCCCGATTTCGGGGCCTGCTATGATGCTATTTCAATACATCCACACCCATACCCTTACCCACGCCTTGTATATATTGTGGAAAAACGTCGGATTTGTCCCAAAACGCTTACGGACCTATTAAAAGATCCCAATAGATCCCGAAAAAATAAGTTCCTGTAGCTGCTATACTGCCAAAGTTTTAACACCCACTGATTCCTGTTCAGTTCTAAGTCGCAAAAAAATTCTTTACTCATGCTATAATCATTTCGTATAAAAGTGTAATCGACAATACCTTCTATGGATTCTAATTTTTGCAAGTTTGTATCTTGCTAATGGATTTCCAACAAATGAAGGTATATGTTAATTTCATTTGTATTTTATATAAACCAATTTTGTATTAATATTATAGAAATTTCTCCTGCAAAAAAGTCATTCGATGATCTTCGGGAGCGTTACACACGCAATGCATGGGATGACCAAATTTGTTCTTGCCCATGTAGTTGTATATGTGCTTCAACTGAACCGTCACAAACAAGCGAACAAACAACTAGCTCGACCACGACAACACCGCCTTCATCAACAACCTCAACATCAATCTCAACCACAACAACAACAACAACTGAAATAACAACAACCACAACAACAACAGTAACAACAACAACAGTAACAACAACAACTGAAACAACAACAACTGAAACAACAACAACTACAACAACAACAACAGTAACAACAACAACAACTGAAACAACAACAACCACAACAACCGCAGCAACAACAACAACCACCACCACAACAACAACAACAACTACAGCAACGACAACCACAACAACAATAACTGAAACAACAACAACAGCAACAGCAACAACCACCAGCACCACAACAAGAACAACCACAACAACTACAGCAAAAACAACCACAACAACAGCCACAACAACAACCATAACAACTACAGCAACAACAACCACAACAACAACAACAACAACAACAACAACAACAACAACAGTAACAACAACAACAACAACAACAACAGTAACAACAACAACTGAAACAACAACAACCGCAACAACAGCAACAACCACCACCACAACAACAACAGCTACAGCAACGACAACCACAACAACAATAACTGAAACAACAACAAACACAACAACAACAGCAACAACAACAACAACAACAGCAACAACAACAACAACTGAAACAACCACAACAACAGCAACAACCACAACAACTGAAACAACGTCAACAACGACGACTACAACCACGCGCTGCTTCGATATATGCTGGCAAGAGGATTGTGAAACAGGTACCAATACTAGCATACCATGTCCTAGTGCAACTGTTTCAACGCCATCGACTACAATA